TCAGTCCATGACAGGGGGTAAATGACTGGCATTCCCCCACCGAGCTCCGCACGCCACCGTTCCGAGATAAAAACAATGTTTTTATCCCCACATGGGTCGGGCCCTGAATTATCTGAGTCAGGTCCGTGGCTGCCATGGAGGCCATGAACTCCCGGGCCGTCCCCGACCCTCCACCCAGGGAAGGCAGATTAAAGTCCCCCAGCACAATAAGTCTGGGAAACTCAACTACCAGCCCTGATAGAGTGTTGAGCAGCCTGGGCAGGGCCGTTGATACGCAGCTGGGTGATAGGTACATAATCAGCAGGCCCAACTGATCTTGCGGGCCACATCTCATGAGGAGGGACTCACACCCGTCTATCTGCGGAACAGGGACCTCCCGCGGACCCTGGGCCTCCCTAATCACAACTGCCACTCCCCCCCCCTACCCTGGGCTGGTGTAGCACCCAAAAACCTGGCGGGCAAAGTTCGGTCAGAGGGACACCTCCCTCCAAGCTCAACCAGGTTTCAGTAATGCAAGCCAGGTCCGCGTTTTCCTCCTCGATCAATTCATGGATGAGGGGAGCTTTGTTAACCATGGATCTGGCGTTAAAGTAAACCAGCTTGAGCCCAGGGACCCTCTCCCTCAAACCCCCGGGGAGGCAGGTAGAACCCGGAGGGGCGGAGCAGGCCATCGCTCGAAGACAGCGGGGGCACTCTCCCAAATTCCGATGCAGCCCTCCGTTCCTCCATCTGCCACCATTCCCAATCGCAACAGGGATTTCTTGAATTGCAAGTGTTAATCTGTTCATTTCTGCACATTCTAATATTTTCTTAATCACTTCATCATCTATAGGGATCTCTTTGCTTTTCCAATTTTGTGCAAATACAATTCTAGCTGCGGTTATTACATGAATAATCAAATATACAGTTTCTTTACTATAAATTCCTGGTAAAATCCCCAACAGGAACAATTCCGGTTTTAAATCAATATGTTTTGTGTCATCTTCTCCAGCCACATACAAATTTTTGTCCAGTATCTTTGCCCACATGTCTACCACATATATGGTGTCTGTTGACATTTCTAACATTTAGTTGATTTATCTTTAAACAGTTTGGCCAGTCTTTCTGGTGCAAGGTGCCATCTGTAAAACATCTTATATAAATTTTCCTTGTATGCATACTCTATCGTGTGATCAAAGTTTTTCGCCCGTGCTATCATTGTTCCTTTGACTTGTTCTTCTTCTAATTTAACGCTCAATAAGTAACTGTACAATTTTTTAATCATTCTTTCTTCTATTCCTGTCAATATCTGTCAATATTGGAGGGGTGACAGAGAAAGAAAAGAAAAGCTTTTAAGTTAAATAGGTTTACTCTGGTAATTACACAGCTAATCAGTTTAGGTCCTGGAACACAGGCAATGAAACAACAACAAAAAACCCCTCCCCCACGTTGCTGCTTCTGAACTAAAGCAATTGAGCAGGGAAGCTAGAGTAGGAAAGATCTTTAGCAAAATGTTCACCTTAGCAACCTTAGTAAACACACACAGAGGAGATGAATCCAAAGTCAGAGAAGGAACCCTTACAAGCCCCAGTCACTGCCTCCTCCACTTCCACCCCTTTTCTTCTGAATCCAAAGGAAAAAGCTCCCAGCCCAGAAACAGCGCTCCCAGAGCTGAAGAGGTGTACTTGCAGTAGGAAGAAAAACCTCATGACTTTAAAAACTCAGGGAGAAACCTCTTTCACGTGGCTGCTTCTGAACTAAAGAAAGCTATCAAGTGAGCAGGGAAGCTAGAGTGGGAGAGATCAAATGCCAGCCAATCAATGACAGTCCCGGGAATTTAAGCTTTGGGCTCCTCTTTTTCTTCCTTCCTTTCCAGCGAGCAGCAATTTTCAGGGTCTGAAATTTACTTTCCCTTTCTGCCTTTGCCTGCTTCCTAGACAAGGAATGCTGCTTCTTTTGCTGCCTCCCCACAAAAAGAACCTCTCTTTCTTTTTCCCTTCCTTTCTTCTCATCTTCCTTCCTACCTTCCCTGCCTGCTTCCTTCTCATTCCCATCTCGTTCCAGAGTTTGACAATGCTGCTGGTGGCTGTGCTTACCGTGGCTGTGGTTTTCCCATGTGGGGCGGGGCAGGGGCGGTCTCAGTGAAAGGGGAGCCACACAGGCTGCAATGCCGGGTCTTTTTGGCCTTCCTGGCCCCCAGAAGCCTTCTGCCAGCCAAAAATGACTGCATTTTTGGCTTCCTTCTGCCTCCAATAGCTCTCTGCCTTACCTTCCACTTCCAGCTCGCGAAGGTAAATCCTGCGCTTGGCAGGACTGGGGGTGGGGGCCAGCGGGTGGGCGTGGCAATGTGGGCATGACAGCCTCATGGTCCCACGCGGCCCCGATTAATGGCTTCAGCAGGCCATATTCGGCCTGCTGGCCGTAATTTGAGGACCCATACTGTGGTTTAACATATAACCTGAATTCCAGGAAACGCAATTTTGAGTTTTCTTTTTGATTAGGCTTTAAAGTATTTTATGCTTCAATATTGTCACATCATTCTTTTGTTATTGTTTTGTCATGTCTGCTGCTTGGATGATATCATTTACTGTTTAAGTTGTAGTACAAATACTCCTGTATTTCCTGTATTCCTGTAACACTTTCTGACAACATCAGTCTATGAAGGACTAGAACAAGATGTTGACCAAAAAGGAGCAATCAGGAAACTTAGTGGACTTTACAGCCACGTCCCCTCCATAAGTACAAGACTTAGCAATGCACTTTCTTGCAAATGTAAGACATGGAACCAGACTGAATGGCTCTGATCAGCTTCATCTATGAATTCCCAGACTTGTGTAGCAATAACAGATTAAATAGAGAGCCAGTTTCTGCAATGGAGCAAGGGCAGCAAATTGGTTGACAATATCAACTAATCCATACAGGGTAAAAATAAAAAGGATGTACAAAAAGCTGCAGAAACTGTGAACTGTAGCTGGACACTCAAATGGTCAATGTTGAGGAAGTGGGTAAAATACTGAGGGGGAAGTGAATCTAAAGGAGAATTAGGAGGACTTTTCCACAGAGCACAGAACTCATTTTCTCAAGAAATGAATTGGAAATGAAATGAAACCCCTCTTATTGGGATGATGATGATGATGATGATGATGATGATGATGATTACTATGTTAGAACGTCAAATTTTTAGCTAGGCTTGAGTCCACCAAATTTTAAATAATCCGTTAGAATATCTGTATTCTAAATTGGACATTTTCCCTTTTAAAAATCTGTGGTAAAACCCTCTACACTTTCACTCTCATTTTTTTAAAAATCCACTCATGGAAGAAGGAACTGATACTATTGTAATCTGCAGAACATGTTCCATGTATATACTTATGCCCATAGAATACCCAAACTACATATGTACCAAATGTAAATTAATCAAGTTACTAGAAGAAAAAATAAAGGGTCTAGAGCAGTGATGGCTAACCTTTTTGCCATCATGTGCCAAAAGTGGGAGGAGCGCAGGGGCAGTCGTGCGCGCATGTGCCCACACCCATAATTCAATGCACTCCGCTCCCCCGCACTCCACCTGCTTTTGGCATGCGATGGCCCGGTGGGCCCAGAAGACCTGTTTTTCAGCCTCCCCAGGCTCCAGAGGCTTTCTTGGAGCCTGGGGAGGGCAAAAACGGCCTTCCCCAACCCCTGGAGGCCCTCCGGAGGCCGGAAACAGCCCGTTTGCCGACTTCCGGTGAGACCGGAAGGTCCATTTTTCGCTCTCCCCAGGCTCCAAATGCTTTCTAGTCTACATTGAGAGAAGTAAGCAGTGGGGTACCACAAGGTTCCATCTTAGGCCCAGTACTCTTCAATATGTTCATAAACAACTTAGATGAGGGAATAAAAGGGGAACTTACCAAATTTTCAGATGATACTAAACTGGCAGGAATAGCTAACACCCTAAAAGATAGGCTTTGGGGATCTTGACAGACTTGAACACTGGGCTCTACCTAACAAAATGAAATTCAATGTACAGAAAAGTAAAGTCCTACACTTAAGAAAAACCAAAAGTACACATATAATCTGGGTGAAACCAAGCACTCATAGCAGTGACCACACCTAGAGTACTGCATCCAGTTTTGGTCACCACACTATAAAAAAGATGTTGAGACTCTAGAAAAAGCGCAGAGGAGAGCAACCAGGATGATTAGGGGACTGGAGACTAAAACATATAAAGAACAGTTGCAGGAACTCGGCATGGCTAGTTAGTGAAGAGAAGGACCAGGGGTGACATGAGAGCAGGGTTCCAATATTTGAGGGGTTGCCATGGAGAGGAAGGGTTCAAGCTATTTTCCAAGGTACGCAAAGGCCAGACTAGGAATAATGGATGGAAACTGGTCTTGAAATAAGGAGAAATTTTCTGACAGTGAGAACAATCCACCAATGGAACAGCTTGCCTTCAGAAGTTGTGGGAGCTTCATCACTTGAGACTTTCAAGAAGAGATTGGACTGCCATTTGTCAGAAATGGTGTAGGGTCTCCTGCTTGAGCAGGGGGTTGGACTAGATGACCTATAAGATCCCTTTTAACTCTGTTAATCTGTTACTTTGTTGCTTTGTATGTACACTGCACTGGAAGCTAATCTAATTACACTTGGCCAAATAAAGCTCTTCCTCTTCCTCCTCCTCTCTCCTCTCCTCTCCTCTCTCCATTCCATTCCATTCCATTCCATTCTATGCCACGCCACCTCTACCTGTACCTTTACCTCTACCTCTACCCAATTCCAATTCTAGAATTTCCTTAAAAGTGGGACTAAATACACCTGTGGCAAGATGATTATAAACCACTCTATCTAGATGATGGTGATGATGGAGGTCCCCTGTGGTGCTTACCCAGGACCTTCCCAGATTTAGATGATGTGTGTAGAAGTGAAGGTCAAGTTGATATCCAGTGCCAGGGACTCTGGATATGTTCCGTGTCTATAAAAGACATGCTACAGTCCTACCAGAGCCAGCCAGGCCCTTGTGCGATCTATCAAAATGTGCAATATTGTGAAGAATACAAGGATTTTTATTTCTTACTGGATCATGTCATCACAAAACAACCATGATTTGTTCCATGACTGGAAGTGCTTTAACATCTTAGGGATAGAGAAGCAATTCTGGAGAGTCATTTAAAGGGACCGCCAAAAAGCTGCAGGTTGGACCATGCAGGGCTTCTCTGAGATTTGAGAGTCCAACGTTCTCATAGTTTGGTACATAATTCATGGTCTTTGGTCAGCTTGGCTTCTAAAACAGGAATTTGTTTCTTCTTAAAATTAAGTTTATCAAATTCTTCTCGGATTTCTAGGATGGATTTTTTCTTTGTCTCAGGCAGGAAGAAGTATATAATAAATCCTGAAGTGTAAAGGCTCCCCATGAAGATGAGAAAGGAGAACTGACGGAAGTTTTCCTGGGGATGGGGAAAAAAAATGCCATCAACTATTTAGGATTACAACAGCTTCTTAGTGGAACAGAGGCTGATTCTTATGCGAATTCCCAATAAATATTCCTGACTGGTTTCCAAATACCAAGCTGGTGACTGCATCATTCAGTAAGTCAGCTTCAACCAACTACAAAATGTTGGCAGTTGATTGCCCCAATTTTCCTGCAGATTGGAGGGAGGAATAAATCCATAAGTCCAGAATCACTTACCATCATCAACGGAAACACCATTCCAATCACAAAGACTCCAACCCAGCTGAGGGTCCCACTAATCGCAAAGGCAGGGGCTCTGGATGACTGATCAAAGATTTCCATCCTGAGAGAGACTGTGGCACCAGCTGTGGAGGAAATAGAGGAGAATTTGTTACCATCACCACAACTCTATCAGTAATCTTACAGAGATTTCTCATCGAGAGGACTCCTGAGCCAGACATAGGGGTATCCAAATTTTAGCTGTGGTTAGGAAGGGGACTTAATCACTTTATTAACCATGGTTGGGAAAGGAGAAGGATTTTGGAATGGTGGCTAAAGAGGGTGCCCAGATCTAGCAACTGCTTCAGTTCCTGAAAGTCATGCCAGGGTCCAGATCACGACACTGGAAACAGACCGTATATATTCTCATCTGTGGCCAGAGGTATCTTTTTGTATACAACAATCCTTTATTTATATTATTTATTATATATATTATTATTAATCCTTTATTATAGCATATCCTATAATTTCTCAGTTTCCCATCTTTAGCAACAGTTGGACAAGGTACAGGTAGTTTCAACTTGCGACTGGAAGCTATGACATATTCTCCAAAGCTACTTATGACCAGGTTTCAAAGTTGTCGCAACTGCAGCATCCCCACAGTTATTTGCCCGTCTGACTGACTGCAGAAAAGCTGCAGCACTCACCAGCCCCACCTTACTTTATTCTGCCCCCTACTTTGAAAAGTTTAAACCAAAAATAACTTTGGGTATCCATATAAATCTGTGTTGAAGAAATTACCTGGGCCCATTCCAAAGACAAATACAAAACAGAAGATCAAAGACAGGCAACAATAAGGCATCCAGGAGAACCAGGGCTGAAATAAACAAAACTGCATTTTAGTTCATTAACTTATTATGATCAAACATGGATGTCAACCAACTCCCTATGATTCGTGAGCCAGAGTTTAATTTTTATCAAAAGCCTAAAAACACCCTGGTTCCTGGCCCTCATTCTTGACCTCCCCATCTACAGGGCCCTTGTCTGGTCAGCAGAATAAACTTTCTCTTCTGACTTTGCTCAGCCCTCAGCCTTGCTTTTGCCTTGGGAATCAAATTATCTTCCTCAATGTGTTGCTTCCTTCTTTTCTAACCACAAAGGTGTGTGTGTGTGTGTGAGGGAGGGAGGGAGAGAGAGGGAGGGAGGGACCTATTAGATCAGGGGAGTGTAACCTAGTGCAGTGGTCTCCTCCAATAAATCACTCAACAGTTGGAATCCCTTGTTTAGATGAGGCATTTGCTCACCTGCAAGGAGAGAGCTAAGGTGATACCAGCCAGCATGGTGCCCATCAATGCGTAGCCTGCCCAGAGTAGCACCTTTCTTCCAAATCGTTCAATGATGAAGCTCTGAGGGATTTGGGGAGAGGAATGAGCACTTGGAAGATGCCCTTGCAGCTTGACCGATGACTAAGCTGAAGAAGCTTCTTGGATGAGAAGCAAAAAATCTTTAAAGAAAAACCAGAAAGTCCAGTTGCCTCTTGAAAGAGCACCTTTGGAACAGCCATGACCTGGATGACTGAGAATCTCCATAGACACTGAGAGCTTATAAATCAGAGACAAATTCCTTGTGTGTCCAATCACACTTGGCCAATAAAGAATTTTGTTCTGTTCTGGTCTGTTCTGTTCCGTTCCATTCTATTCCATTCTCTCCCCTGCCCTGCCCTGCCCTAATTTCAGTGATAGATCCCAACAGGATGCTCTGGGAACAAGATTATGGCCAGCATGGAGGGCAGTGCTGCTGCTTGAGAAACCCCTGAGATTGCCAGCCACCACACTTTACATATGTTACCTTTCTCCAAGGGCCAGCAGGAAGTAAGGTTATTCCACATTTATTTATTTAATAATTAAATATTTATTCCACTTTTATCATTTTTGTAAACAACTCAAGCGGATGAACATACCTAATGCTCTTTCCTTCTTCTATTTTCCCCACCACAACAACCCTGTTGGGCTGAGAGTGACTGGCCCAAAGTCACCCAGCTGGCTTTGTTGCCTAAGGCTGGACTAGAACTCATAGTCTCCTGGTTTCTAGGCAGCCCCTTAACCACAAAACCCACCAGTAGGATGGTGCTATCAATGCCTGGTTCAAGTTGTGGCCACAAAGCCACTCAGGCAGCCTCTAGCCATGGTCCTGTCCAGCCTTCTCTCCCTTTTGGAGGAAGGGCTGCCTGCTCTTGGGCAGCAACCGTCCCGGCCGCTTCCTGCTGCATCTCACCCCCCTCACTCACACAAAGGACGGTGGAAAAAAATTCACAGAGGCTCACTCCCAGGGCCAAGTAGGGGATCTGTTCAAGGTGGAACCCAGCCGTCTGGAGCACTTCAAAGGTGTAGGAGTAAATCTGAGGAGAAGGAGGAAGAGGAGAAACCAGGGAAGCCATCTGAGGACAGGACGAAGATGCTACGACTGCACAGGAGCAGTCCTGGAAGGGGAGGCTTTCAACAGAAGGGAGCGAGTTCAGAACATGGCATTCATCAAACCAGGCTTAGGAAGGAAGAGAAGGAAGAGCCAGTCCTGGCTTGGAAACACCCCCATGTCTGCTAGTAAGGGAGGTACATCAACTCCTAAGGGGAAAATAGGTCAAAGGAAATTGTAGGGTTTTCCTGCTTCTGTATCTCCAAGTAAAAGCCCCTTCCCCTCCACCCGGAAGCAATGGACCGGGGGCCTCACTCAACTGCCTGGATGCCACTCAGCTGTGTGGTCACTGCCAGGACAAGCAACATGTAGAGCTGCCAGCGCAGGGAAGGCTCCTTGACCACTTCCAGGAAGCTCTTGCTCTGGGCGATGTTCAGGGCTGCTTGCTCTTTCCGCAAATCATCCAGTTCTGCCCGATGAGGCTCTTCCCCCCAGAAGGTCTTCATTGCTGGGAATGAGAAAGAATGCATGGCAGGGACACGGGCATCCCTGCCACAGGACACAACTTCGGGTACAGCAGGTACACCTCCTCTAGCTCCCTGCCTGGCAGCAGAACCACCTGGCCCATTTCTTTGTGACACCAGCTTCACTTTGTGGCAGACCAGAAATGGCACAGCTATTACTTCTCTGGATGTAAAAGGTGGGGAACTCAGAGTGGGCAGGATTGCCTGTCTCTAACAGAAGAGAATAACAGAGTTGGAAGGGATCTTGGAGCTCTTCTAGTCCAACCCAATGCACAAGCAGGAGACCCCATACCATCCTGGACAAATAGCTGTCCAATCTTTTCTTAAAAATTCCAGTAATGGAGCATCCACCACTTCTGAAGGCAATCCATCGCAGAGAGACCCATGGTTGGAAAGGATCTCAGAATCACTTTGGTGCATGTCCTGCTTAGGCAGTTTGGATCTTAGCCTTTGTTTGAGGACCTTGAGATAGGGGAGGGCCCCCTTCCTGTGGCAGTCTGTTCCACTGGTTAGCACACAGTTAGGAAGTTGTTCCTGATGCCTGCTCTTGTATCTTCTTGCATGTGATTTGAATTGGTTCTGGCCTTCTCATCTGGGGCACCGGGGAAGAGTCTGCTCCATAGGAAAAACCCTCTGGCATTTATTAGTGATTTATCCAATTTATATTGTTGCCTATCTCAACTATATGACTCGGGGCAGCTCACAAACCATGAAAGCAACATTAAAGGATCCAAACAATACAGCAATTTAAGAACAATAAAAACTAAAACTATATAAAAACCATATACAAGAGATCCTCACTTAACAATGGTAATTGGAATGGACAGTTCCAAACTCAGCCCCATCTTGTTGCCTCCCTTTGACTTGACCCAATTTCTCATGGCTTTTCTAGCTGCCTTTTCAGAGGCTTTTTAATGGAAAGGAGGAAGTGGTGTCATCTGTTACCTTTCACACATCCTTCTTCGTCTCCTTTGTGCAAGAGCAAGTAAGGTGGTGACTCGGGGAAGAATGGTAGTGTGAGCAAGGGGACCAAGGCCGCAGTCCCACTGAAGGCCAGCAGCATTGGCCAGAGGGCCCCACTTCCCAAAAGCTCCCTGGGAAAGCAGACAGAAAACCTAGGTTGTTTCCAAAGGCTTATGGATAAGACACATCTCTGATTGTTGTCTTGTGCTCTCATGACCACAATCATTAATTATTTTATTATTTATTTATTATTTTATTCAATTTGTATACCGCCCTTCTCCTAGTGGACTCAGGGCGGTGCACAGCCAGAACTAAAACACATAACAATACAAAATTTAAAATTATTAAAAGAATTATATATTTTGGCCCAAATTTAAAACAATTCGAATTAAAACCCATTAACAGATTAAAAGCTAAACAACTAAAAAACTAAAAAAAAGGGGGGGGGGTTCACGCCAGCTCTGCTTGATGGAAAAGAAAAGTTTTCAGGGCACAGTGAAAGACCCGGAGATCCGATATCCTTCTTATCTCCGGGGGCAAATCGTTCCAGAGGGCGGGAGCCCGACATTGCCTGGCTGATGGCACCCTGAGGAGTCCCTCTCTGTGGGAGCGTACTGGTCGGTGGGAGGCTATCGGCGGCAGAAGGCAGTCCCACAAATACCCAGTTCCTATGCCATGGAGTGCTTTAAAGGTGGTAACCAACACCTTGAAGCGCACCCGGAAGACCACTGGAAGCCAATGCAGCTCACGCAGGAGAGGTGTCACATGGGAGCGACCCCTCGCTCCCATAATCCCCCGCGCGGCCGCATTCTGCACCAGTTGGAGCCTCCGGGTACTCCTCAAGGGGAGCCCCATGTAGAGAGCATTGCAATAGTCCAGGCGGGAAGTGGTGAGTGCCTGAGTGACTGTGCGTAAGGAATCCCGATCCAGAAAGGGACGCAACTGGCGAATCAGGCGGACCTGATAAAAAGCCCCCCTGGCCACGGCCGTCATATGCTCTTCTAAAGACAGCAGTGCATCCAGGAGGACACCCAAGTTGCGAGCCCTATCCGTGGGGGCCAATAACTCGCCCCCAATAGCCAGCGATGGCACCAGTTGGCTATATCGGGACGCCAGAAGCCACAGCCACTCGGTCTTGGAAGAGTTGAGTCGGAGCCTGTTACTCCCCATCCAGATCCGCACGGCCTCCAGACACTGGGATATCACTTCAAGGGCATCGTTGGGATGGCCTGGGGTGGAGATGTACAGCTGCGTATCATCAGCGTACTGATGGAACTCCACCCCAAAGCCACAGATGATCTCACCCAGCGGCTTCACATAAATGTTGAACAGAAGGGGCGAGAGGACCGACCCCTGAGGCACCCCACAAACAAGGCGCCTCGGGGTTGACCTCTGCCCCCCTGCCAACACCGACTGCGACCGGTCGGAGAGATAGGAGGAGAACCACCGCAGAATGGTGCCCCCCACTCCCAACCCCTCCAACCAGCGCAGCAGGATACCATGGTCGATGGTATCAAAAGCTGCTGAGAGATCTAACAGGACAAGGACAGAGGAACAACCCCTATCCCGAGCCCTCCAGAGATCATCCACCAATGCGACCAATGCTGTTTCCATGCTGTGCCCAGGCCTGAAGCTGGACTGGAGCGGATCCAGATAGACAGCTTCATCCAGGTACCCAGGAAGCTGTCGCGCCACCACACTCTCAACAACATTCGCCAAGAAGGGAAGGTTGGAGACCAGATGATAGTTAGCCAAAACAGCCAGATCCAGAGCAGGCTTCTTGAGGAGGGGCCTCACCACCGCCTCTTTCAAGGCAGATGGCAAGACACCCTCACTCAAGGAAGCGTTGATAATCCCCTGGAGCCAGCCTCACGTAACCTCCCGGGAGGCCAGCACCAACCAGGAGGGACACTGGTCCAATAAACATGTGGTCGCGTTCAGCCGCCCCAGTATCCTGTCCATGTCCTCGGGAGCAACAGGGTCAAACTCCTCCCAAATGGCAGTCTCAAGACCGGCACCCATCATCCCATCTGTACCTACCCAGTCAGAGACCAAGCCTTCCCGAATCTGAGTGATTTTATTGTGCAGATACTGGACAAAATCCTCGGCACGACCCTGCAAGGGATCCTCCCGCGCTCCCAGATGGAGGAGGGAACGGGTCACCCTAAACAGGGCGGCCGGGCGATTATCTGCCGATGCGATAAGAGCGGAAAAATAGTTACATTTTGCCGCTTTTATCGCCACTAGGTAAGTCTTAATATGAGATCTTACCAGTGTTCGGTCGGATTCGGAGCGACTAGATTTCCAACTGCTCTCTAGGCGTCTTTTCTGGTGCTTCATTTCCCTCAGCTCCTCGGAAAACCAAGGAGCCAGGTAGACTCGGCAACAGGTCAGAGGTCGCACAGGCACGACTCGGTCCAAAGCGTCAGCGGCCGCCCTATCCCAGGCAGCCACCAGATCCTCAGCCGAGCCATGAGTCAGAGTCTCAGGAAATGGCCCAAGCTCCGTCTGGAACCTATCAGGATCCATCAGGCGCCTGGGACGGAACCATCTGGTCTGTTCCGCCTCCCTGCGGCGGGGTGTGGTGGTTAGAAAGTCAAGCCTAAGAAGGGAATGATGCGACCATGACAAGGGCTCAATCACTATCTCCCCTATCTCAAGATCATTCATCCACTGCCCAGAGACAAAAATCAGATCCAGAGTGTGTCCTCCCGTGTGCGTGGGTCCACAAATTAATTGGGTCAGGTCCATGGCCGTCATGGAAGCCATGAACTCCCGAGCCGCCTCAGACGCTTCGCTGACAGACGGCAGGTTAAAGTCCCCCATGACCATAAGCCTGGGGGTCTCCACCGCCACCTCGGCAATCACGTTGAGGAGCTCGGGCAGGGCCACCAACATGTGGCAGGGAGCCAGGTACGTAATCAGCAAGCCCATCTGCCTCCCTTGTCCCCACTTCACAAGGAGGGACTCACATCCGGCTATCTGAGGTACAGTGGCCTCCCTTGGGGCGAGACCTTCCTTTACTAGAACCGCCACCCCCCACCCCTCCCCTGGGACCTCGGCTGATGGAATGCATAGAAACCCGGAGGGCACATCTCAACGAGGGGGACCCCCCCCTCCTGGCCCAACCAGGTCTCTGTAATCCCTACCAGGTCCGCACCCCCCCCCACCCGAATCAGATCACAAATGAGGGGGGCTTTATTTACCACAGACCTGGCATTGCACAACATCAACCGAAGGCCCAGGGCCTGAGGATCTGAACAACCCGGGGTGCGAGACGAGCATTGAGGGCCGGAGCACGTAAACGCTCGCAGATAACAAGTGCTGAAAAAGTGTCATGAAACCAGGGCATTGAGGAAAGTGTGACTGTACCTTAGTCCCATAACTTGACCGAGGACTTTTCCCAAACACCAAAACATGGAAGCAGTTGAAGTGGTAAATCCACGGAGTTTTTTTGGGGAAACCTCCCCGAGGTACTGGGGATGAAGAAGGATACAAACACCTTGAATTGAAGGCAGAAAACAAATTAATGGGGTCACAAGAAGTGAAAGTCTGCTGCGCAATCAAAGTGAAGCAAGAATAGTTTGACTACAAAGAAGAGAAGCACAAAATAGGGAACTGTGGAAACTGGCTTGACCTTAGCGGGGTTGGATCTGCACATGCTGCATAGGGTGGGGCTCCTTCTTCTATCTTGGCTGCCCTGTTTAGGGTGTCCCACTCCCTCTTGAATCAGAGGGTGGGGGAGGACCTTTTGTGAGGGCGGGCCGAGGAGTTTAGACAATGTTGGCTGGTGATCCCCAGAAGTAGAGCTTTCTCTGTGGGGGGTCCCACCCTTTGGAATCAACTCCCCCTGGGGCTCCGGTTGGCCCCTGACCTTCGCACCTTCCGCCACGAATTAAGAACATGGCTGTTCAAATTGCCCAGCCTGGACTGATGGGGTTTGGATAATTTTAATATGTTTAATATGTGTTTAATATGTACTTTAATATGTTTTATCTGGTTTGATTTTAATTGTTGTGAGCCGCCCTGAGTCCTATGGAGATAGGACGGCATACAAATCAAATAAATAAATCAAATAAATAAATAAATAAATAAACCATCTCTTGGCTTCATGGTGGGACTCAGCATTGAGTCACTTGACTTGACTTGGCTAAGGATTGGTTGATGTGGCTTGGCTAGATTGAAACTTTGGGGACAGCAAAAGAGCGCCTTGCACAAAAGGGGGCAGCCCACAGCCAGAGCAACAATGCAATGCCCTTGGTGCCCTCTGGGGCTCCCACTGGAGGCTCTTCCTCTGTCCTTCTAAATTCCTTACAACTCAACCATTGCATGTTCACATCCAGTGCTCCCGCTCAGTCCTAATACACCTTGGCACCTGCTTGGGTCTTGGCCAACAGTTCGGAGAGATGGGTGCATACCTGTGCTGATGCCACACAGAAAACGTCCAACCAGAATGAGTTCGACAGACCTGGCCATTTTGCTGAAGCCCAGGAGGAATGCGCTGGCCACCATCAGCACGCTGCTGCCCCAAAAGCACTTCTTCCTGTTCATGAAAAAGGGGGAGAGATGGCTCTGATGCTTGGAAGAGGATGAAGATTTCTGGCTCAAAGTGAGACCAGCCTGTTCATGGGAGGCTAGCAGCAACCATCTCTTCTTTTAGAAACAGAAGGGCCTGCCACTTCTCACCCCATTGCCATCAGGCAGGGTGTGGGGTGGGGATTTTGGGATTTGTGTGTGTGAGAGAACTAGAAAGATTGGCCAAGGGAACAACCTGGAGCAGCCTGGTTGGAATGGGCCTCCTAAGGCAGATAGGGACCCTGGTTTGAGCTACTGGAGCAGGAGATGTGTCCTCTCTGCACGTTGTACTACCTCTCAGACTAAAGTAACTCTGGAGCCTTTGGGGGTCAAAATGGCCCCTCTCCTGAGTGTGCCTCCCCCAGTTCAGGAAGTCGCCTGGACCTTCATGGTGGCAAAAGTGATTCTGAGGGCAGCATGGGAAGGCCTGGAATGGCGGGAATGTTGATTAAGTCCTCCCTGAGAGATGCTTCTCTGGGTCCTTCATTCCTCAGAGGAAGCGTCTTCCTAACATTCAGGAAGGTTTCTCTTTCCTGTCTTTGAAATTCAGGTCCTATACTTGAGAAGAAGAGAGAAGAAGAATCTTTTTTGTCTCTGGCTTTGAGATATAGGAAGAGGGCTAGCATACATATCTTCTCAGTTTCCTTATAGCTAAATACATCCAGTTCTTTGAACTGTCTTCATAGGAAGACAGGAAAAAAATCCCTGACCACTAACTACAACTACAATATGTACCTTCTTAACTGGTCAGGAAGGTAGGTAGGTAACTTGTATGATTTGGCATTACTGGCTTTAAAAAATGGCCTTACACAACTTCCAAAATATATTCAGCTTTTGCTAATACAAAAACTCTGATAAACTTCCAGTGATCTTCATCCCTATTGCTTCTATGGCACTAAGCTATGATCCCTCTCTGATTTTGGATCAAGCACCCATGGGATTCTCAACCACATATCTCCTCTTTTTCTCTATGCATCCTCCTCCTCCTCCTCCTCCTCCTCCTCTTCCTCCTCCTCCTCCTCCTCCACCACCACCACCACCACCATACTCAAAGGGGCTTATAATAAATTATAACAATTAAACAACCAGCCAAGCAACCAATTAGAATTATTATTAGGGCAATTGAAAATGCCTGACTGTCCACCTGCTGCTGAAAGACTCCCAAGGACTTGACTATTGGCACATTTATTTATTTATTTATTTATTTATTTATTTATTTATTTATTAAATTTATATACCGCCCTATTCCTAAGGGACTCAGGGCGGTGAACAATAAAAATGAACGATAAAAATACATGTAATACAAACGTTAATAATAAAAAAAACCAATTAAAATATACTAAACATTCTGGTCCTAGATAATTCAAGACATCCCAGTTTAAAATAAAATCAAAAAGCAATATAAAGGGAAAGTTAGGCCAGGCCGGCCTGCTGAAACAGGAATGTTTTGAGGGCACGGCGGAAAGTGCGCAGATCCGGAATCTTCTGTATCTCTGGGGGGAGCTCGTTCCAGATGGTGGGTGCCCCCACAGAAAAGGCTCTCCCCCTGGGGGCCGCCAGTCGACATTGTTTGGCTGACGGCACCCTGAGAAGCCCCTCTCTATGGGAGCGTACTGGGCGGTGAGAGGCTATTGGTGGCAGAAGGCGGTCTCGTAAGTACCCCGGTCCTAAGCCATGGAGTGCTCTAAAGGTGGTAACTAAGACCTTGAAGCGCACCCGGAAGACCACAGGAAGCCAGTGCAGCTCGCGCAGGAGGGGAGCCACATGGGAGCGCCATGCTGCTCCCATAACTACCCGCGCGGCCGCATTCTGGACCAGCTGGAGCCTCCGGGTGCTCTTCAAGGGGAGCCCCATGTAGAGAGCATTACAGTAGTCCAGGCGTGAAGTGACGAGGGCATGAGTGACCGTTTTTAACGAGTCCCGATCCAGAAAGGGACGCAACTGGCGAATCAGGCGAGCCTGATAAAAAGACCTCCCGGCCACAGCTGTCAAGTGTTCTTCTAAAGACAGCCGTGAGTCCAAGAGGACGCCTAAGTTGCGAACCCTCTCCGTGGGGGGCAATGACTCATCCCCAATAGTCAGTGATGGCACCAATTGACTATATCGGGACGTCGGAAACCACAGCCACTCGGTCTTGGATGGGTTGAGCCTGAGTCTGTTCCTCCCCATCCAGATCTGTACAGCCTCCAGGCACTGGGACATCACTTTAAGGGCATCATTGGGGTGGTCCGGGGTGGAGATGTATAGCTGAGTATCATCAGCATACTGATGATACTTCACCCCAAAACCACGGATGATCTCACCCAGCGGCTTCACATAAATGTTGAACAGAAGGGGTGAGAGAACCGACCCCTGTGGCACCCCACATACAAGGGGCCTCGGGGTCGACCTCTGCCCCCCTGTCAACACAGACTGCGACCGATCAGATAGAAAGGAGGAGAACCACCGCAACACGGTGCCTCCCACCCCTAACTCTTCCAACCGGTGCAGCATGATACCATGGTCGATGGTATCAAAAGCTGCTGAGAGGTCTAATAGGACCAGGATAGAGGAGCAACCCCTGTCCCAGGCCCTCCAGAGATCATCTACCAATGCGACCAATGCCGTTTCCGTGCTGTATCCAGGCCTGAAGCCCGACTGGAACGGATCTAGATAAACCGATTCATCCAAGTACTGAGGAAGCTGTCGCGCTACCACACTCTCAACAACCTTCGCAATGAAGCGAAGGTTGGAGACTGGACGGTAATTAGCCAACACTGCTGGGTCCAGAGAAGGCTTCTTGAGGAGAGGCCTCACCACCGCCTCTTTCAAGGCAGCGGGGAAGGCACCCTCTCTCAAGGAAGCATTTATAATCCCCTGGAGCCAGCCTCGTGTAACCTCCCGAGAGGCCAGCACCAGCCAGGAGGGACACGGGTCCAATAAACATGTGGCCGCGCTTAGTCTGCCCAGTATCTTGTCCACGTTTTCCAGAGTCACAGAATCAAACTCTTCCCAGATAATATTCTCAAGACTTGCCTCCATCCTCCCTCCCGAATCTACCCAGTCAGAGTCCAAATTTTCCCGAATCTGAGCGATTTTGTCATACAAATATTGTACAAAGTCCTCGGCTCTACCCTCCAAGGGGTCCTTCCACGCTTCCTGGTGGAGCAGGGAGCGGGTCACCCTAAACAGGGCGGCCGGACAATTATCTGATGACGCAATAAGAGCGGAAAAATAGTTACACTTTGCCGCTTTTATTGCCACCAGGTAGGTCTTAATATGAGACCTTACCAGTGTTCGGTCAGATTCAGAACAGCTGGCCCTCCAACTGCTCTCCAGGCGTCTTTTCCGGCGTTTCATCTCTCTCAGCTCCTCGGTGAACCAGGGAGCCAGGTGAGATCGACGCCGGGTCAGAGGCCGCAAAGGCACGACCCGGTCCAAAGCTCCAGCGGCCGCCCTATCCCAGACAGCCACTAGGTCTTCAGTCGAGCCGTGTGCCAGAGCCTCAGGAAATGGCCCAAGCTCCGTCTGGAACCTATCCGGGTCCATCAGGCGCCTGGGGCGGAACCACCTCATCGGTTCCGCCTCCCTGCGGCGGGGTGTGGCGGTTCGAAGGTCAAAGCGAAGGAGGGAGTGATCTGACCATGACAAGGGCTCGATCGCTATATCCCCTATCTCGAGACCACTCAGCCAGGAGTGCTAGGAGTTCTGTTATTGAATACATCGGAGGTGAGATAGAATTGGAGGCGATGAAAGGCCATTTTCTTCTTAAGGTGTTAAAGATGGTTTAAAACAGATGGTTAAGACAAAAAGGGTAAAGTAGATAATTGTACAAGGAAGCTAATATAATAGAACATCGGAATACCATCTCCCTCTTACAATGATGGGAAAGTCTTGAATTATAATTATTATTACATTATTCTTGAATGCTTTCAAGACCACCTTGATGAAGCAAGTATTCAACGGGGACCTACTTTCCATATTTGGCGGCCAGGCATCCACTGCTCATGGAGCCCAGGAGACCTCCCAAGCCAAAGATGGATACCACCGAAGACCACAATAAGGTGAGCGTTGAAGGACGGACTGAATGTCCAAACCTCTCCAACCACGTCTCATTGATGAACTCTTTGATGTGCTGGAAAAGAGGGATGTGGTTAGGCAGAGATAGTTTTCTCATCACTGATGGTAAAAACCAACAGATTGCTCAGTTATGGTTCGTAAGAAGGAAAGGGCAGGAGACACCTAAAGAAGACACAGCCCAGGCAGGCGCTGCCTGTAATGATACCATGATAGCCACCAGTCAGCTGGGCCACCAGGCTCAGTAAATGAGAACCTGCCAGATTTTGGAACCAGACAGGCATTTTTCTTGGCTGTTTTCATTTCAATGGAAGGATGATGCAGGTAATACTCCACTTACAACTACAATTGAGCCCAAAATTTCTGTTGCTAAGCAAGGCAGCTGAGTAAGTTTTGTGACTTTTTTGCCACAATTGTTAAGCAAATCAGTGCAGTTGCTAAATGAATCATATGGTCTTTAAGGAAATATGGCTTCCCCCATTGATTTTGCTTGTTAGAAGTCAGCTGGGAAGGCTACAAATGATGGTTTTGTGACCCTGGGTCAGTGCAGCAGTCATAGATACTTGCCAGTTGCTGAATGCATGAATTATGATCCTGTGACCATGAGGATGCAGCAACAGTCGTAAGTGTGAAAACCAGTCATGTTTTTAAAGTGCTGCTGTAACTTCAAACCATCACTAAACAAACAGATGTAAGTCAAGGACTACCTGTGTTCTGGCTGTAGAAGGTCTCTAAAGAGCCTTTGCTGGTGCCATTCTGTGCACATTACATGGCAAGGGAGACAGAGGCTTCTGAAAAGATTGGAAAGGGCCAGAAGGGAAGTGGCATTGCCTGTGGGAGAGAACCACAATTTTCTTTGGGAGCTGGGGAATATTTAAAGATGGGAAGGGGGAGCCTCAAAGGGGTGTTTCCAAAGAATCCCTTAAAGATCTGGAGGGAAACATGGTGGGGGGCTTGGGGTGTTCTTGAGGCTGGAAACTGGAGATGGCTGCCTCCCAGAGGCCTGCCAGTCCCAGCTGTTTGAAGCAGAAGAAAGCAATAACAAAACTATTCTACTACCAAACAAAACTCAGACGTAGAGATTGACATGATGCCTTGCAGCATGCCAGGTTCCCAATTCTTTTAATTCCACTTTTAATATAAAAAGTGTAAATAGGAATGTAGGACTGGATCCTGGAGGCCCACAAAGATGTCCTTTGGTATACTGGCCCTGCAGAGCACCATCTGGGGCAGTGGTCACCATCTGGTGATCCATGGACCACTGGTGTTCTGTGAGAAATTTTTGGTGGTCCGCAGAAAAATTATTTGCATTTTTTATATTGCACTAAATCAGGACTCTTCAAACTGCGGCCCCTAGGCCTGATACGTGCAATGAACGTTTGTGTTGCTGCAGCGTCTCCCCCTTTGGGGCCTTTTTGTGCCAGTCAGAGTGGGGCAGAAAGTCCAGCTCGGGGTCTGCTTTGGCCTCCTGCTGCGGGGCTTTGGGCAAAGGCTGGAAGGAAGTGCCACTGGTGGCGAACAGCCAGAGCGTCTTGTTCCAGTGGGACTGCATCATGGCCTGGAACTGGCTGACCATCTCAGCCCACTGAGCCTGCAGGCGCCGGTACCTGACCTTGCACTCCCACAGGTCTTCCCTCTGCTTGGAAAGCCTATGCTTGTAGTTCTCAGTGAGGTGCTTCTGCTGGGCCTCCTTCTCGGTCAGATCCAATTTGAACTGAGTTGTTTTGCCAACTTTTTCTCGTGGTGGTTGCTTAACTCCAACAACTACTTCCTGCTGGGGCCCTAAGGAGGCTGGGCTGGCAGGGGAAGTGTGGCTGGGAGGGGAGGGGCGAGTAGAGGCCATTGAGATGCCCCTCAACATGAGTGACATCAAGTTGACCATGTCACATGACCACATAGCCACGCCCACCCAGCCAGTCATTAGGCAGATCATATTAGTGATCCGTGGGATTTAAAATTATGAATTTAGTGGTCCCTGAGGTCTGAAAGTTTGGTGACCCCTGATCTGGGGGACTCCAGCAGCAGCCAGTGTCTGAAGTCCTCAGCCAGCACTCAGTCTTGTGATTGTGTGGAATACATCCCTTGCATCCCAATAAAGGAGAATATTTGTAGCTCAGGGTTGAAATGAGGGGCCCATGATGCTCTTCGAGCTTAGTTGTATTCTTGCAGACATTTCTTGCAGACATTGGAAAAGATAATAAAAAAACAGATCTGCCAGCATCTAGAAATGAGTAAAGTAATAACTAGCAATCAGCACAGGTTTGTTAAAAACAGATCATGCCAAACCAATCTTATTTCATTCTTCAACATAGTGACTAAATTAGTAGACCAGTGAAATACTGTGGACATAATAGACTTCAGCAAGGCATTTGACAAAGTAGACCACAATCTACTTCTTCGTAAGCTAGAAAAAACTGGGATAGATAGAATCACCACCAGATGGATTTGTAACTGGCTGACAAATCATACCCAATGAGTAGTCCTTAATGGGCCTACATTCTAATGGAGGGATATAAGCAATGGGGTACCACAAGGTTCCATCTTAGGCCCAGTACTCTTCAATATCTTCATAAATGACTTAGATGAGGAAATAGAAGGGGAACTTGCCAAATTTTCAGATGATACTAAGCTGGCAGGAATAGCTAACACCCTAGATGATAGGCTCAAGATCCAGATGGATCTTGACAGACTTGAACACTGGGCCCTATCAAACAAAATGAAATTCAATGTGGAGAAAAGTAAAGTCTTATACTTAGGCAAGAAAAACCAAAAGTACACATATAGACTGGGTGAAACCAAGCACTCATAGCAGTGACAGTGAGAGGGATCTTGGAGTCTTAGTGGACAACCAATTAATTATGAGTGAACAGTGTGTGATGATCGCCAAAAAAGCCAATGCAATCCTAAATTGCATTAACAGAGGCAACAGAGGCAATCAAGATCAAGTGAAATACTAATACCACTCTATAAAGCCTTAGTAAGACCACACAGGATAGCATCCTGCATCCAGTTTTGGTCACTACACTATAAAAAAGATGTTGAGACTCTAGAAAGAGTGCAGAGGAGAGCAACCAGGATGATTAGGGAACTGGAGGCTAAATCATACAACGAACGGTTGCAAGTACTCGGTATGGCTAGTCTAGTGAAGAGAAGGACCAGGGGAGACATGATAGCAGGGTTCCAATATTTGAGGGGCTGTCACAGTGAGGAAGGGTTCAAGCTATTTTCCAAGGTACCCAAAGGCCAGACAAGGAATAATGGATGGAAACTGATCAAGGACAGATTCAACCTAGAAATAAGGAGAAATTTTCTGACAGTGAGAACAATCCACCAATGGAACAGAAGTTGCCTTCAGAAGTTGTGGTTGCTTCATCACTTGAGGCTTTCAAGAAGAGACTGGACTGCCATTTGTCAGAAATGGTGTAGGGTCTCCTGCTTGGGCAGGTGGTTGGACTAGATGACTTACAAAGCCCCTTCCAACTCTGTTAATCTTATCTAAACATTTCATTTTGATGTTATCTAGTTTGGGTAATGAAATGTCTGCAAGAAAACAACCCAGCTCAGAGAGACCAAGGACCCCGCAGAAATGTCCTTCTACATGGCCACTGTTTCTGCCACTCCATCCTGCAGAGCAGGAAGAGGATTCCCCACAGTCCTTTCCTCTTCTGTCAACGATGCTGAACCACAAGGGGCATCTTTCTTTTGTGCCTCGGGGTGATGAGTTCAAGGTAGGTTCTGCAGAGCTGTGACCAGTAGATCCTTCATGCAGATCCTGCCTGGGAGGAGGACTGCGAACGACTCAGGTTAGAATTAGGAAAGTTTGTTAAACAAATTGCTGACACAGATAGTTGCAGCTACAATGAGGATAACAAATGATGGGACACTATTGTCTAGCAAGTTAGAAGGACATGCTAGAAAGATGTTTTTTAAGAGTTAAGACATGTAGATATTTAAACTTTGGTAACCTGTGGCTTATTGTAGTAGTAAAAAACACATTTCTTTTGATAAGAAAGCTTATTAACATAAACATGCAATGTGTGAAGAAAGAGAGTAAAGTGGAAGAATCCAATCAAGAGGAACATGTGTCAAGGAACCAATGTGTGATTCTTAGGATGTTAACTTAATCATAACTGTACATACAATTTGTGCTTGTGCATTTTTTGAGGTCTTGGCTTCTTTAGCTGCTGAGACCCTTTTGTCACAAAAGAAGCTGAAAATGCCATTCCTCGTGTCTGGTGGTCTTTGTTGGCTTTGGCGCCAGGTTAGGACTCATTTTGGGTACAACAATTGCTTACCATAGATGCATAAGTGATCATAGATCCTTGGAAGCCAACCTGCAGTGATCCTCCGATTCCCAGAATAACCACCATTAAGAGGAGTCTCTGATATTGAATCTGGGAGAAAGAGAAACAACACTGGTTTTTTTTCTAAACCAAAAACTTGGTTTCTATTTCTATCCTTTTTAGAGAATGCCAAAAAGGGGAGGATAAGAATGTCCCTTATCTAACCAGGACTGCTGGTTAGAGAAAACTGGCTGGTGTAAGAAATTGCTTTCAACCCAATTGAGGTGAGCTGAATGACATTATTTTCCAAAGCAATCGTGTTAAATGCATTCTCTTCCAAAATGTTGGGTGTGTGTGTGTGTGTGTCAACAACTGGCCCTGCTCTGCATCTCCCCCCCCCACATTTTTGCTTGGGAGTGCAGGAACTGGCTGATGTCATTGTGCCTCCCTACGGAAAGACCCTGCCTGAGTCGCAGATGGCTCACCTCTCCTGGCCTTTGGGAAAGTGGGGAAGACCTTCTCTTTCACCAAGTGGGGCAGGGGGTGTCAAATGCTGCATACCTGGGGCTCTGGCTGGGGGGGTGATATGATATGTGGTTTGGTTTTTTAATGATTTCATAGATTGGATCTGTTTTTAGTTTGTTTACCAGATAGATGGGCAGCATAGAAATTTGATGAACATATAAATACATAGAAATAAAGTATCATACAAGGACATAAAAATCAATCATAAATGACGGGTCTATAGCAACAAACCCACCCACCCCATCTATGCACCTGACAGAATCTCTCCAAAGGAAGGGCCAGCCTCTAAGTTAAAGGCAAGGCGTATGCTGAGGGGCTTCTGCTGGTCAGGCCAGAGGTCGGGGTGAGGGGCAGTGGACAGCACTGGGGGGAAGGTGTTTGCATCTTCATCCCACAGTGCTGCCTGCCCTAGGGGGTGCCCAAGCATAGACTGCCCTTGGGGGTGTCAGCTTAGACTGTCCACATTCAGCCCCCTCTCCTTGCCTGAATCTTTAAATGCCATGCACTTATGTAGCTTTTAAACCTTTTAGTTCAAAATAATCTTTCCTCTTACTCCCCTTTGTGTTAATTTCCTTTGACTGGCCCCTATAAAACTATCACCCAGAGCCTAGAAGAGGGACAACACCATTTAAAAACAAATTTCACCCTTCCACACCCACACAATGAGAACAATGCTGGAGGATCCTCCTCAGGCCAATGTCCCTGGCAACACTCACTGTTCCCTTCCCTGAGATGCAACCCTGTGGGAGGCGGGGCGTCCCAAGGGTTGGGGGAGAAGGAAACTCCTCTCAGGATTGCCAGTAGTGATTATTGATCTGGAACCACCAAAAAGAGCTTTCCCAGCTGGGGAGGGGGCTAAGCAGTTAAGTACTTAGGAGAACCGGTTGTTAAAAGAAATCTCCTTTTGTTTTTTCCCACTTTACAGGGTTAATCCTGTAAGGAATTACAACATTCGGTATTGTTTCCTAGCCTAATCTTTATTGCCCTGTTTACAGAAACTGCCTCTCTGGCAGTATGCCTAGACTTACTGTCACTTCCGGTTCCGGAGGGGTTTTTTTTTGCTTGACTTTCTTAAAGGGGAAGGGTTGTTTTAAGCTTTTTACACCGCTGTTGGGAGGAAATACCCCCCTGTTGGAGTTCTTCCAGTCAGGGTGCAGTGATCAGCACTTTGAAGAAATAATTGAATAACGAAGCAGAAGCTTTTAATGACAAGGAACCAAGATGAGTGACATTCAGCAAGGCTTCCTGGCTAGCTAGAAAGATTGACATTCAAACGGGAGTTTACATACCCTTTCTGACTTTTGGTCCAAAACTGGGTTTTGGTGAAGTTTAATCCTGTGTTTAGTGATGGGATAATTTTCCCTATTCAGCTTTGTTTGGAAGGAAAAATGTTAATCTCTGTTCCTGAAAAGAAGCAGCTTTGGAAATCTGACTAGTTCTGTGTCTATTTGTTCTGGTAATTGGTTTAACAAGCAACAGATACTCTGTTTGCTCCTTTGCTTCATTCTGGAGAGCTAAAATGACCTCTCTGCTAAAGGGTTTCACTTTATGAGCAAGAGTTGGCCGCTGATAGTTATCATTGCATTTTAACTATTTTAATTCCTCAAGGTGCTCTGGCACCCTCCCTGATTTGTAACTCCAGTTTGCAGGTATTTCTAATCAAATGATTGGCATTTAGGGCAGCTTTTTGCAAACAAAGAAGCTTTTTGTATTTTTGTACAGGTAATCCTTGATTTACAATAGTTACAATGGCACTGGAAAAAGTGACTAATGACCGTTTTTCACACTTATGACCATTGCAGCAAACTGTCATTAGGGCAAAGAAGTGATGCCACATGACCACCTGGCCACGCCCACCCAGTCACATGAAGCACCGCAGTTGTGAAATGAGTGACACGGTTGTTAAGAATGCTGCAACAGGCATAAATGATGACCAGTCAAAAGTGCGAGGGCCTGTCAGAAATCACTTTTTTCAGTCCTCCGGATAGTCCTTTTGTGCATATGGACTACTCAGAGGGCTGAAAAAGTTATTTTTGACTGGTCCTCACACTTTTGACCAGTCCTCGAACTTACGACTGTCCTCACATTTTACGTTTTTGCCCTATCTTGTCACCATGGTGAAAGAAGCAGTTGTGAAATGAGTGACATGGTTGTTAAGAAAGCTGCACGGGCATAAATGTGAGGATGGTCATAAGTGTGAGGACCGGTCAAAAGTGCGAGGCCCAGTCAGAAATGACTTTTTTCAGCCCTCTGAGTAGTCCCTATACACATAGCCATGCCCGCCCGGTCACATGACCAGCTAGCCATGCCCACCCGGTCACATGCCCTCCAAGCCACGCCCACTCAAATAAGCCACACCCACAGAACTGGTTGTTAAAAAAATTAATCCCAGCACTGGAGGAGGCCATGACTGAAGGACAGGCTTCCTGAGATCGGAGCTCCACTGCCATCTTTCTGGCTTCCCAGAAGATTTGAAGGGAGTGGAAGCTTTGAAGAGCTGAAGGGTCTATTTTACAGCCTGCAGTGGCTCAAGGCGCCCATTTTGTGGTATAAACCCAGCCTGAGCAAATTGAGGGAAATGGAACTTTTGAAGGACAAAGCCAGAATCTTGATGCTGGGAGGCACTTTGAAGCTCATCTAGCTCAGGGCTCCCCAAACTCTTCAGCTCATCAATTCTTCATAAAGTTTCAGATTGCTCATCATCCCCAACTAAGTATTAATTTTTAAAATAATTTAATAAATCCTACCTTAACTAATACCAACTAAGATGATTAAAAGCCTAGAAACAAAAACAGATGAAGAATGGTTGCAGGAATTGGGAAGGGCTAGTCTAGAGAAAAGAAGGACGTGGGGTGACATGATAGCAGTATTCCAGTATTTGAGGGGCTGCCTATCAACCTATTTTTCAAAGCACCAGAAGATAAAAACAAGAAACAATGGATTCAAGGAGAGAGGCAATCTGGAATTAAGGAGAAACTTCCTAACAGTGAGAACAATTAACTAGTGGAAAAGCTTGTCTTCAGAAGTTGTGGGTGCTCCATCACTGGAGGTCTTTAAGAAGAGACTGGACAGTCTCTTGTCTGAAATGGTATAAGATCTCCTGCTTAAGCAGTGGGTTAGACTAATCTCTAGTCTGATTTTTGAATTCTACTACTACTACTACTACTACTACTACTACTACTACTACTACTACACCCTGTCAAGAGTCCCATCAACCCATCGGGTCATCAATCCATATTGACCACTTTGAGGAACTCTGATTTAGCCCAACTTCATGCTTGGGCAGAATCCCTCAAAACTGGCATGCTGAGTTTTGCATGGATGGAAGATCAGGGAAGACGTCTATGCAGCATATGCTCCAGGGGGTTCTGGGTGACCTGGAAGTAGCTGCTGCTGTGCCTTTAGCAGCCCCTTGGGATGGGATGCCAGGAAGCCTTGTCTGGCTTGTACTCACCACATCCCAGAAGATCAGTGCCATCTCTGCTTGGAGCTCTTTTGGATCTTGTCTCTAACAGAAGGCAGCCCTGGACTTTGGCCTCTTTATTTCATTTCTTGGTGAAATCCCAAATTTCCTGGTTAATCATTCACTGTAATGATTTCAAGAACAAAGGATGAAATGGTATGTTTGTCGCTGGAGTTAGGCTGTCCATAGACTCTGTGACGAAGCATGATGGGAAGAAGAGGCTTCAGAGAGAGCTCTCCTGAAGTCATGGCCAGTCATGGCGGTTGTTGGATCTTCCCAACATCCTATTGCTGGAATTCCCCACTTCAAAGGGCACCATCTCAGTTGCACTGGGACAGATGGAGTGCCACCAAAGTTAAGAGACAAACTTTGCATCTAATACCACATTTCCTTATCCTTTTTAACTTGCCAATTTCCAGCTCCTTCTGGACTCACCAGAGGGAGTCCAGAGGCTGAAGATCTGAATCCAAGTCCCCCTGTCTCTCATCATCTCATTACTGTTCGGCATAGGGACTGTAGATGACTAGGAATTCCTTTGATGCCTGTCCTTGATATTTTATTCTGCCTACTCTTTGTTTATATGATTGCTTCCCACATGCATTTGTTTTCTACTCTTGAATTACAGGCCCATAAAATATAAAAGTTGGAAGGGTCCTTAAAGTCCAGTCCTTTCCCCCTGCAGGAACGCACTGATCTAGCATCCATCTTCTTTTAAATATCTTCAGGGGAAGACCTCCTCCCAAGGCCGTTTCCAGTGCAGAAATCAACAAGGAGTGGTAAGTTCATAGAAAGTTGCTAGTGCTCTTCCAGTGAAAAGCTTTCTGGATGGTGGAACAGAGGAAGAAGGGTATGGGATTTCTGCAGCAACAAAGCTGGCTTGTTGAGGGGTGAAGATTGGAAACGGGGACCCTGGCTGGAGATGGTCAGGATGGATGCTGACATCCAGATGAGGAGGATTTTTATTGCCTGATGGGTTGTAAAATGTGGAGATCGATTCTGGAACCAAAACTTGGGAGCCAGGCAGTATGGAAAATGGATTCTGGGTGGGAGGGGGGAACCAGAAAGGAGTTTCCTGACTGCCTGTGCTGAGAAAAGATTAAAGGTCTCCTTTGGACTATAGCTAGATGAGAACTGAGCTGAAGTGGAGTCCAGCATGGAGAGATAAACCCAGAGTATAATAATTGTATGTTGTAAAGAAAGTAAGTAGGGAAGGGAGGTTGACAATCAAGGGTTCACTGTCAGTGTCTGGCTGGATACTTTTGAATGAAATCACTCATAAATAGTCCAGTTTAGAAGCTGGTCGGTTGGAAGCTGAAGGCTGTGTAACCCAGGAATTTTTGAGTCTGTGGGTCCTGAGGAGGGAAAGCTGGCTCTGCAGTCAAAAGGAATGGGCAGGAAAAAGGGCCCTGTAGCCTTGAAAGGGCCCAGTTTGTCTCCTCCACAATCTGCCTCGAACCCAGCAGGTTTAAATAGTACCTGCTCCACTTCCAAACCTTTCCTCCCTGGAAGACGTAGCAGCTGCCAGGGACAATGAAAGGAGGAGGCTATCTGGACTTTTGGCTGTCAGGATTTAAGCCAAGGAATGTGGAGTGGAAACAGCACTGATTGTTCTCATGGAAAACCTTTATGGGGAATTAGATGAAGGGAGCCCACTCGTCTTTCTCCTGGATCTCTCAGAAGCCTTCAGTATTGCCAATCACACTACCCTTCTGGGTTGCCTGCAAGGTTGGGAGTTGTGGCAGTGGTGAAATCTGAACCGGTTTACTACTGGCCGCGCATGCACGCCACATGCCAAACACGAGGTACGCACATGCATGTGCAGTGCGCACCAAACGTGCGGTGCATGCGTGTGCGCAGTGCGCATCATGAGGCCTGGGAGTAGAATAGTGCTGGGGGGATGATCAGCTGTGCCGTGCGATTGTCCAAGCCTTTTCTTTTACCTTTTAAATGCATTTTTTTACTACCGGCTTGGTAGTAGTAAAAAAATGCTTTAAAAAAATAAAAAAAAGGCTCGGACAATCACGTGGCATGGCTGTGATCGTCCAAGCCTTTTTTAAAAAACTTTTTTAAAGCATTTTTTTACTACCTATTTGCCCGAACCGGTAGTAAGAAAATGCTATAAAATTTTTTTTAAAAAGTTCCAACCATCGTGCGTCACTCAGCTGATCATCGGAACTTTTTTTTTTACATTTTTTTCTACCAGTTCAGGCGAACTGGACCAAACCAGTAGTATTTCACCCCTGAGTTGTGGGCATTATATATAGTTGTGGGCTCCATTCTGAGTGGATGCTCTCCGTTGGTGGCTGTCCAATATCATTATGGAAATTATGCCTAATTATACACCTCCAGCCAGAATAAAATGGGAGATGCGGTGACGTCCTGACCCAACGTCTGGAAACTCTCAGAGCCCAAAAGGAGCAAAATAGGCTTGGATCACCTAAGTAAGCTAGCAACTATTGACCGCA